CTTGTCTGAGCGATTGGCTAAAGTAGGACTGAGTGGACTTGTAGGCTCTAAAGTTTTACATTGTTTTATTTTTTGAATGCAGTTTTTTGTGTGCATAATTCTACATTTGTACGTTCAACTTTCATGATGAAGAGATTGCACTACAGTACTTGTATTAGATAAATTGACAAATACTATTTATTTTGTTTTTTACTGGGAAAATATTTGTAATCAGAAATAAATATAAAGTGAGCACTGTACACTTTGTATTCTGTGTTGTAATTGAAATCAATACATTTGAAAAAATAGAAAACATCCAAAAATATTTAAATAAATGGTATTCTACTATTCTTTAAGAGTGCGATTAATCACATGATTAATCACGATTAATTTTTTAATCACTTGACAGCCCTAATAATAATAATTAATAATAATGTGACATTCAGTTAGCTCTAAGCATGAAGGCCAGTGTCGTGCCGTCACTCATGCACATGAGTAAATTATAAACAAGAATGGTCCCATTGAACTATTCACATGCATAGTTACTCACGTGCATAAATGCCGGCAGAATCAAGGACTACGACAAAATTGTCTGTCTTGCTTTTTGATTTGTCTAATACAAGGAATCTAGAAAGTTTAAGAAAACACTGTGCATCTAAATTAAAGAGACGGTAACAGATTAAACATTTCTTTTTTAACAAACTGTCCTTGCAGTCCTGACAACACCTTAGATTACTACAACTGAAGACTCTTCGAAAAGCCAATTTGCTTTTTCATTATTTTTCCTGTACTTCTGCCTTTCTCGGTCACACAACAAAAACTGACACTTCAATTTCGTGTCTCTCCAGTTTCAAGTTTTGTCCCTCCTGTGAATGCTGCAATGTTATGGGCTTTTTTCAGAGAAACATTAAATGAGCCTTATGTTTTGGGGAAAAAAATCCTAAATTCAGGCCCAAATTAAGAGGATATTTGATGTCAATCTAGCAGAAGCCTAATTTCAGGATGCTACATTCAGCTGATGGCAGCTTGTAGAGAAGTTAGGGTGACCAGATGTCCCGATTTTACAGGGACAGTCCCGATTTTGGGGTCTTTTTCTTAAATAGGTTTCTATTAGCCCTCCCACCCCTGTCCCGATTTTTCACATTTGCTGTCTGGTCACCCTAAGAGAAGTGGGCTGGGGTTACAGGCCAGGCAGCTCCACAGTTGGAAAAGGATTCGCGTGAGCTCTGCCTCCAAGTAATTTCCGGATTCCCAGGTGGCCTGGAACTGGCAGGGACAGAGACGTCAGTTTACGCGTGGCAAACATGACAACTCTCTATTCTTTCCTTCTGCCACTGCATCTGGTCTACCTTGCTGAGACAGCACTGCTGGAAGGAACACCGGCTGTGAGCCACAGGGTGCTACCAACTCAGCTAAATAAGCAGGACTGTCCAAGGATGCAGTTCTCCGCTCTGCTTTCAGTGTCTGTGAAAACCACCAGCTGTGCTGGGAGAAAGACACCCCGAGGAGGTCTTGAACTCAGATCTTCAACACTGCAAGTGTCTCAGCTCACTGTTAACATGGAGCCACTTGTATTTTTAGGCGAATGTATTTTTATTTTCTAAAGCACTTCACTTCACCTTGACTGTAAGAGTCAATGAAAGACCAGCACAGCATGGCTGAAGCAGTTGGCTGGCATATTTTACACACATCCACACCCAGGTTGCAGCTTCTCTAACTACCAGCCCTGAAAACTCAGCTTGGGCTCTACGAGACAAGCTGGGTTCTTTCCTTCTCACACGTCATCAGCTGTAATAAGCGTTCTGCCGGGCAAATTCTGCCTGTGCCACCCCAGAATCCTGTCAAAAGGAGAGAGGGTTTGACAGCCGGCAGCGTCCTCTGCTTGTCAAGGACTGAAATAAAATTCAAGGGGATGATAAGAGATGGGAGGGAATAGGAGGCAGCGCTGGGGCCTCCTATGGACTTCAGCAGAAGCTGACTGCATGGCTCCTAGTTGGAGGCCCACAGCGCCTCGCAAGGTCAGCCCTGAGGAGTGCAGTTCAGACAAAAATCTCTCTCTCTTCTCCACCTTCTAGGGTGTGCGCTTCAGAAAGAGACAATCCCGGCCTGCTGAGCCTTCCCTGGTCCTACAGCTCACCTGGGCACCCCTTGGCCTCAGTGTCTCTCCCAGCCCCCTAGGTTCCTCTTTATCCCCAGGCCCCCGCTAGGCCTCTAAGTGGCCTATCACCTCCTTGCCTCCCCTCTTCGCCCTTAGGCAAGCCCCCAGAGTCCCCTCACTTCTATGCTCTCCATTCACCCTCATGCATCCAGTCCTACCTACCTCCTCACCTCATGCACCTTCCAGCCTGGAGCCCACCCACCCTCTCACCTTTATGCACCCCAGCTATCCGTCACTGCCCGCTCCTCCAATTCAAACCTTTACCCCAATGTTCCCCAAACCCCTCTCATCCCTAGGCTGCCCCTCAGTTTGTCCTAGTCACCAAGGTCTATCTTCCCCCCCCCCCAACACGCTCCCCCAGCCCCTTGTTTCTGCCTCAACACCATGTTCTCCACATCCCACCCAGCCTCCTACGTCCGATTCTCACTCCTCCCCATCTCTGCCTTCTGCTCCCCAGTGCCCAGTGCCCCGTGCCCAGCCCCTCTCCCATGTTATGCCAGAGCAAAATCACTTACCCAAGTGGGGCATAGAAAACAGACAAATCCGGTAGAGAAGTCCATATCAGAGGGGAACTCTGTGGGTATTTCCACATGAGCACCCTATACAACACTCAGCCAGCTGTATCTTTCACTGTTCACCAGAGCTACATACGCTGTGGGAACAGGAAAGCAGGGTGCCCGTGACAGCACCCTACAATATAATCACGAAGCTGCTTGGACAAGGTGATGCCCTGGCTCCCAGCTCCATCCATACACATGCTAGATATGTTTTCTGCCAGGTGCATGACAATAAAATACGCAAATACCCTGGGGCTGCCGAGAGCAGCCTGTTATAAATAGCTCTTTATACTGTCTATAGTACAGTTAATAAATGATATTGGACCTCAGGTTGCAAGCCTTCTCTGGGTGTAAATCTAAGTTCAGGGACTTCTGCTCAGCGACCAGCCGGGGACCACAAAGAAGGCAGCAGAGTTAAAAACAGACTGTCAGGAAAATTAACGGCTTTAATTACATCTGTTCAGGTGCGTGCTGGGATCTCAGAAATAAAAGAAGCAGTTGGTGCAATGACAAAATAAATGAAAATAAAGCCAATTATTTAAAATAGGAAAGGACGTTTAAAACATTTTGCCAGCGCATCATCACTAGCTGAGCCACGAAAGAGTGGCCAGCAGGAAGACCACAGAGGAGTGTATGTGTGTGTTTTGTATTACAATAGCATCTACAGGCCTCAAAATCAGGGACCCATTCTTCCAGACACAGTTCAAACACATAGTGAGAGACAGTCCCTGGTGGTGTTTATTAATCAACTCATGTGAAACCCACGTAGGTCACAGAACTGCAGGGCTTACAAGATGTAGTCCCCATGCTCTGCCTTTCTCCCTGCTCCAACACAACAAGCCAGACTTCATCAGTTTCTCTGTAAATACTGCTATAGAATGCTTTCTATTTGCAAGCAGCTGACCTCCACAAGCACACATGGCGAAAAGGGTCCGGCTGCTGCCAGCGTCTAATCAGGTTCAGATTGTTCTCTGTATTGCAACACTGCATGCTTGGATATGTCCTTTTCATTCTATTTTCATGTTGTATCTTCAGTATGACCCACCCTCACCCCCTTCTTCTCCCCATGTACAGCACAAGAGTGCCGTTGTTGAAGGCTCTTCTGCTTGAAGTGCAGATGAAAATTAAAGTTACACCCCGTGCCACTGGACGCGTGGCAAGGAATCAACATGTCCAATTTCCCTGCACACACCCCAGTCCAAAGGAGAGAATTAAAGCAAATCGGTTTGCATTTCTGGGAATACAGAGAATACTGGAGGAGCTGCGGAAGCAGCTGAGATGTGCATTTGTGGCCCTTTTCGCTATGATCATTTTAATACTGGGTGCGTCCTCTATCAAATCTATCTTGCACGGTTTAGTGCATCTTTCCTTTCCACCTAATCTCTACTATTCTAAGTGACCTTGGGGATCTGAAAAGCTGGTGTATGTAAATTTATTGAGCCAAAGCAATTAAATTAAATTAAATTACAAAGCTCATTATTTACCTCGCTCTCCATTTCATGATAACAGTGCTGACTTACAATGCCTTTCATCTCAAGATCTCAAAACACATTATAAACATCAATGAATTCAGCCTTTTAACCTTTCTGCTCCCTCCTCCTGCTCACATATTTGTGATTTACTTTGTCCCTTTTTTCACCAGGTCAAATTAATTTCCCCATGTTATGGACGGGGAAACTGAGGCACGAGGCGCGAGGGGGGGGGCATTAAGTGATTTACCTAGGGCTACATCTGTGGCAGAGCTAGAACACAAAGAAAAAGAAACTGTGCAGGATTTTTAAAAAATAAAAAACTGTTAAGATTTAACAAACAACAACAAAAACCCAACCCCCGCACATTTCGTGTTTGCAAAGTTTTCTGCAGAGGGCTGAAAGTTCGCGAAATCGCGTGGGACACAGGCCTGCCATCCCTTAGCGCAGCGGAGCGACTGCCCATGGCCGGGCAGCCGCGCTCAGGGGCCGTTTACACGCCAGGGACCAGCCCAGGGCGAGAAGGAACCCAGCCCGCCTTCCCCGGGGCTCGCAGCCGGGGTGTCACGGGCGGGGGCTCCCCGACACCAGCCCCGGAGAGGATCGGGAGGGGAAACGAGCCCCCCAGCTCCCCGAGATGCCCCGCTGAGCAAGGGGGAGTCGATCCGGAGCCCGGGCCCGGACCCACAGCTGCGCTTCCACATCTGGCGCTACAGGACCCCACATCTGGCTCTGCACCACATCTGGCGCTGCGGGACCTCACATCTGGGACCCCATATCTGGCGCTGCAGGACCCCACATCTGCCCGAGCGCCAGCCCGCGACCCGGCTCACTCACCTGCCCCTGGGCGCCAGGGGCCACGCAGCCGGAGGGTCCCACACGCAGCGCAGCCCGAGTGCCGCGACTTCTTCCCTTTTCCTTACGGCGCCTTCCCCGCCGCCCAGCGCCCCGCCCAGACTCCGCCCTCCGCGGGGTTGATTGGCCCGGCCTCCCCCAGTGACGTCTTATTATGCAAACGAAGGAGGGTTTCCTTCCCCTCGGCGGGGTGGGCGGGGCTTTCCCGGCAGGAGGGACGAGCCCTCCAGCTGTGCGCGGGGAGGGAGGGGCGGGAATCTGCCCTGCCAGATGTGCCGGGAAAGGGGAGGAGGGGTGCGGGGAATGGTTCCCTTCTGGAACAGCCCGAGAAGGGAAATTCTGCCCTGTGCAAAGGGGAGAGGGGTCAGGGGGATCATTCACTTCCAGATGTGCAGCGCCAGAGGCGTCGTTCTGCCCTTCCAGATGTGGCAGATGTGCAACAGAAGAAGGGAGATTCTGTCCTTACAGATGGGCCAGCGTGGGGGAGGCGAGGGGATTCTTTCTTTCCCGATGTTCCAAAAAATAATAAAAGAGGGAGACTTTTTCCTCTTCCAGATGCTCCAGCTGTTCCGCAGCAGGGAGGGGATTCTGCCCCTCCAGATGGTCTTGCATTCACACAGCTAGAGAATGGGAAGAACACTGCTGAGGCATCAAGGATGGGGGAGGCAGAAGGGGGGGACTGCTGTGTTCTCTGGCCCTTCATCCCTAGCCCCCTGCCTGTCTCATACACACCCCTTCAACCATCTGGAGTGACAGAGCTGGAGAAGTCGGGCTGGAACTATGTGTAAGTATCTTGTTGAAAACACCCTGCAAAAAATCCGTCCCCACAATTCTTTTAAACTGCCTTCAAATGAATGCAAATAAGGAAGGCTTCACAGATCTGCCAGGCATCTCAAGCTGGTTCCCCTGGCCCGGGTGGGTTGAGGGACAGACGTGCCTGCTGGAGGCACAAGAGCACCTTGAGGGGACAAAGGACAGACACGCTGCTAGGGGGACTCAGTCTCTCACTGCAGCAACAGAGCCGGAGGGGGAAGGGAAGCCAGGATCATGGTGACTTCTCCCAGAGCTGACGCTTGAAGAAAAGGTCAGGATTATAATAAAGACCTAGGCAAGTTAGTTACTTGCTTTTGCCATTTCGTGGATTCCAAGGCCAGGAGGGCCCATTGTGATCATCTAGTCTGACCTCCTGTAGAACACAGACCAGAGAACTTCCCCAACATAATTCCTCCAGAGTGCATGTTGTCCTCTGCAACCCTGCCAGTAGCAGATGAACAGAAATATTGACATGTGGGCAGTGGAGGTCACTGCTTCATCCACCACTGGGCCACCCGTCCCATAAAAACAGAGCCATCCCTAACCACCCCATCTCGTCCTCAGCTTCGCTCACAGCAGCCCATGGATTAATAAATGGCAAGTATGCAAATACCCGAGCAATATGAGCACACCTGGCCTTTTACACGTGGTTCACGGGCACGCTCAGAAGTCATGCACTCTTTTATCATTACTAGATTTTTGCCGACTCCCATTGCAAACTGCTGGGCCCATGTAACTAAACACAAGGGGAACACTAATTCCAAAAAGTTGGGAAAATCTTGCAGTATTGCCCCAATGGGGGTTGAGGGGTGTCATGCCTTCAGGCGGTGTGCTCACATTCCTTACATTAGGGTGGCTGCATCCCCCTAGGAGAAAAGGAGAAGTGGGGGTTAGCTTCTGGGATGAATTCACCCACCATGCTCTGCGAGAGGCTTCTTTATGCAGCAAAGAAGTATCATATGTGCACTGCAGACTACAGTAATCCCAATGGCCCTGCTGGGGTAGATGGCCTCTTTGTTGAGACTCTGTGATTCAGAGATCTCCATCGCAGGTCTCTCAGCTGTGGGTGGAAGCAATTCTTCAAAGGGAACATGCCGCAGACAGACATAAAGGACAGGCTTTCTTCCTACTCCTGAATTGAGAGGACCCTCCGGTTTGAGGGCCCTGTGTAGAAGATGATGGGTTTGCACATGACATCAGGACCAGGGCGCCCTCTACTGTCTGAATTTATTTTCCTAACTGTAACTGTTGCAGTGAACCAAGTATCAGAGGGGTAGCCCTGTATCAACAAAAACAAGGAGGAGTCCAGTGGCACTTTAAAGATTTATTTATATAAGCTTAGGCCCAAATAAATCTGTTAGTCTTTAAGGGGCCACTGGACTCCTCGTTGTTTTTGTTGCAGTGAAGTGACCCTACAGTAGAAAGCGGGTCTAAAATCCGAGCCAGGAAAAACGCCGGGCTTCCACTTGACAGGCATTCATGTGAACAGTTTCTTTGGGATCTGATTCATGCACATATAAAGAATGTATATAAATAACAGACATAGTTTGAGGTTATCCCTCTCTCTCCTCCATTGTCTCTGTGTCATCTGTCCTGAGGTCATGGGGGGAAATGGAACTAAAGAGCCAAGGTCCGATGATCACCCTGAACACTTAGTTTTTATGTTGTATCCCACTCATCTTCCCATTGTCTGCTTAGCTTGCAAGGTTCTCGAGGCAGGGACTGTCTTTTACTTTGGTTTGTACAGGGCCTAGTCATTCATCTGCGGTAATAATAACATTTGCGTGCTCTCTCTCTCTCCCTCACACACACACACACACACACACACCACCCCCTGAGGCACACACACACACACACACACACACACACACACACACACACACCACC